GGGAATCAGGGCCAGCGGGCGGCCAACGCCACCACCCGAACGGGGATGGCTGCGGGAGAGCCCCCCGTCTTCTACAGGGAGGTTTCTGCAGGGCCCCAGGCCAGTGGCACTGCCAGCCCCGGGAGGTGGGTCAGCCTGCCGGCTCCTGTGGCGGAGGAAGGTGGGGGGTGACAGACCCTGGGGATTGGTCTCCACCAGCCCTCATGGCTGCTGGATGCCCGCGAGTACGGCATCTTCCCTGAATCCCTTCCCGCCTGTCTTCCCCACCGCAGGCCCGATGTCCTGTTCCTGCACGGCCAGGCGTTCACCTCCAAGACGTGGGAGGCCTTGGGCACACTGGCACAGCTCGCCGGAGAAGGCTACCGTGCAGTTGCAATAGATCTGCCTGGTAGGACCATGGCACTGCGCTTAAGTTGATCCCTCTGGGCAGCTCCTGTTCCTCACCTCAGCCACCGCTGGGCTCTGGACCTCTTCAGGCAGCTAGCGGTGGTCCCTGGGGCAGTGTGCCTGGGATCTGGCTTTGCCCCGGGGCATTGACCTCCGTGGTCACCCAAACCTGGGTTGGGGTTGGCTTGGTCCGGCTGGCGCGTGGCTGTGGCTGAACAACTGCTGGGGGTTGATTGGGTGCCCATTTTTTGCCAAGCCAGCTGAGCCTTGGGGGGGAGAGAGACCGTTGCAGGCTGCACAATCCCCCCTGCCCCACGCCCACCCCATGCCCTCTGCCCCATGCCAGGCTATGGGGATTCGCCCCCGGCGGAGATGGTGACCACAGCACAGGGCCGGGTGGCTTTCCTGGACCATGTCCTCCAGGAGCTGGGCATGTGGAGGCCCGTTCTCGTCAGCCCCTCCATGAGCGGCCGCTTTGCCCTGCCCTTCCTCCTGGCGCGGGGGGACCGGCTGGCCGGCTTCGTGCCCGTTGCGCCTGTGGGCACCAAGGACTACGCTGCTGAGCAGTACCGGCGGGTCCAGGTGAGGTGGGTTGTTGGGCTCCTGGAGGGTCTCTGGGTGCTGGTGTATGGTGGCAGGGAGGGTGGCCCTATTTTGGGGTGAGTGAGGGGGACCTGTGCCCCCCCCAGCTCATGGGGGGGCTGGCACCTACCTTCCCTCAGCTTTGCAGCCCCCCGTGGTGACGGCTGGAGGTGGGCACAGCCCAGGGGAAGTGTGGTGGCCATTTCCCCCTCTGACAACCCCCCTTGTTTTCTCTCTCCCCTTACCAAGACGCCCACCCTGATCCTGTACGGTGACCGTGACACAAGCCTGGGTCTCCAGGCCCTGCAGAGCCTCCAGCACCTCCCCAGGCACCGTGTGGCTGTGGTGCCTGACGCCGGCCATGCCTGCTACCTGGACAAGCCGGAGGACTTCCACCGGGCCCTGCTGGGCTTCCTGCGCCAGCTGAAGTGAGCGCCGCCTCATCCCCTGCAGAGCGGAGGACGGGGGGCCGGGGCGTCCCAGGGGACTGGGAGGCACAGGTGGCTGGCGTGAGGGGTGCTCTTCTCTTCGGGGGTGTCCCTAGGGTAGGGGGGGGGGGATTGAGGGTGTCTCTTGCTGGCAGGACAGGGTGTCGTCTGTCACAAGGCCAATAAACTGATGCTGCTCTGGTTTCTGCGTGTGTCCCCAAGCACCGCG